GAGAGAGACACAGCGAGAGAGGGAACACAAGCAGTGGGAGTGGGAGAGGGAGAAGCAGGCGTCCCGCTGAGCAGGTAGCCCGATGCGGGGCTCTATCCCAGGACCCTGGGATCATGACCTGAGCCGAAGGCAGACGCTTAACGATTGAGCCACCCAGGCACCCGACAGCAGAGCCTCTTAAACAGTCCGAGGGACTACCATTGTAGACAATGTTTCTACATTATGTGTATGCTAGCTAGTTTTTACAATAAGTTAAGCTTATTCTTGACTTTCAATGACCTATGCAACAGGACTTGTTCAAATTTAACCCAAGTCAACTTCCCATCATATCTAGAAGAGATCCAGGCAATCTTTACCTATGTCTCTCTCCACACACTCTTTGAAGTTACCTTCAGCCATTGGTAAATATGCTGCCTTCTCTAAATCAAACAAAAGGTCTCCATGTTCTCCAGCTAGTAGATGATGTCAGAAGAAAAAAGTGAAGGAAACATTTATATTTATGCCACAAGTCAACACATTGTGACCCTCGCCTCCGCCTTCAAGGAAAGCAGATCAGATAACTAGCTACGGCACAGTTTGTCACAAGAATGGATTTCAAGAATTCAGTTATCAGTTTTGTCCTTTACTGAGATCACTGGAGTATAGTCATTGTGCACTGTGCAAATATAATTTGCCTTCTTTGAAATCGCTTCATTTCTTCATGCACAAAGCTTTGCATTTTAAAGAATCTTTGCACATAGCAGAGCCCTGAGAAGAGAGATGAAGAATTCTGAAGGCTCAAGGACATATTTTTCCATCTTTTCTCAAGAATACAATCTCACCACTGGAAAGGATTTATATTTTGACATACACAATGCACACAAAATCAGAATGGATGCCTATTACTTATACACCAAACCTGAACTCCTTCCATAGTCTGACCTCACACAACCCATCATTTTATCTCACTACTTGCTTTCATATAATCTTCCCTCCAAACAGGATGATTTCTCTACTGCCCCTCACCCAACCCCTTCACTCCGCTCACCCCCACCACCACATACTTATTCCTGCCTGCATGCCATTACCATTCTTTTCCATATACCTGGAATACCCTCAATGCTCAGGTGAGCTCATAAGTATCAGTGAAGGTACTACACTTTATACCTTATCATTTCCCTAGGTTTGGGTGTGCAAGGCTAAAATGCACAAGACTCCTTTATCCCCCATCACAGTAATCATTGCCTGGCTTGACACTGTAATTTAATTAGCTAGGATTCACACAGGAATGTTTCACTGAAGTAGAAGAGACACTTTTTATTCTCAACTGCTCTTTATAAGCAAAGGGGATACTTATTCAAGGAGAGACTAGATGCATACACATGTAATTTTTTAGGAAATGTCTGGGGTTTTTAAATTGTGATAAGAAACACTAACATAAAATTTACCATTTTAACTATTTCTAAGTGTTCGATTCAGTGGCATTATGTACAATCATATTGCAACCATTATCACCATCCATCTCCAGAACTTTCTCATCTCAAAATGAAATTCTGGAGCACCTGGGTGGCGCGGTCAATTAAGCTTTGGACTCTTGGTTTCAGCTCAGGTCGTGATCTCAGGGTCTTGAAATCAAGCTCTGTGTCAGGCTCTGCATCAGAGTCTGCTTGGGACTCTCTCTCCCTCTCCCTCAGCACCACCCCTCCCCAAATAAATAAATAAGTCTTCCTTCTGTCTCTATGAATGTGACTGTTCTGGGTACATCGTAGAAGTGGAGGAATGTCATATTTGTCCTTCTGTGTCTGGTTCATTTCACTTAGCATAACATCTTCAAGTTTTATCCATGTTGTAGCATGTATCAGAATTTCCTTCCTTAAGGCTGAATAATATTCCATTGTGAGTATACATCACAATTTGTTTATCCATCGATGAAGAAACTATCAAAGGAGAGGGTTTATTTGCCCTTTGAAGCTTCCTCTTAACCTCTGCTTCCCATCTCCCTCATGGCAAAGTAGAATTCCCATAATTTATTAAAACACACACAGAAGTTTCCATAGCAACTTGCTATTAAAAGTTCACAAATAGGTCTTTTGAACATTTGGAAAGTATTTGATTTCCCAACCCCAGCTATCTCCTACCCTGATCAATCTTGCATCTATTAACAATGAACTGAATTCAGTTTTCAATACCAGCCGCACTGAATGCTTCTCACTCAGCATGGGTATAGGACTAGGATTTTCTGAAATCCCTGTTGGTGATGGAAATTAAATTCTTAAGTCACATGTAAGGACACACTAAGGTCCTATGAAGGGAGTTTTTAAATACCTGCTCTGACCCTTCTCATTTATATTCATCTCTCCTTTAACTCACATCTTTGTATTATTATTATTATTATTATTATTAAATACTTTGGGCTTTCCATGGTAAGTAGCATTAAATTCTATTCCGTATTATCATTTCCTTGATTTGTGTCTTTTCATTTTGTCTTCCTACCTCCAGTATAAATGTCTTCAAAGCAGGTTCTGGATCTTACATTTCTTTTCATTCCCAGTCTATACAATAACACAGCACTCATTTCTTGGTCCAAAGAAAACATCGTCTGACTTCTTAACTGCCTGAGGTTCATGGCGGCTCACATTGCGGGTTCTCAATAAAACATTAAGCAAGAATTTCTTTCTCCACAGGTTCAAATGAATCATACTTGAATGTCACACTTTCTTCAAATATCCTGACTCACTAACTCAAATATCTACCCATTGATGTGACCACACTTAGTAACAGAGCCAAAGGGCACAGGTGAAGCATGCTTCTTGCTGTCTTACACCTCGGGTGTGCTGCATTCCTAAAATTACTTAGACTTCACTCTGTCTTAGAAACGCCAGGCAACAAGCAACCAGCAAGTGGGCAGCAATGGAGAGGGGAGGTACTTGAAGGTACTACGAGTCATTCTTCAGGGAGGGACCCAGCTGTAAATGAGGAACAAGTTTTCAGTCAGTCCACTTCACGAGCAAGGAAAGAGGCTGCAAATGCCAAAGCCCATATGACTTCAGTGAATGGAAACTGTGTCTACCTCCATGGCGTGATCTACCAGCCCTCGGTGTGTGGAGGCGGCCCATCATAAATGGAAAATTCTCTTTACTCACAGGGAATGATGATGATAACAACAATGACAACAGGTGACAACAATGATCATAGCAACTACTGAACACTGACTTTGTACCAAGCAATTTGCTAAGTCACTTTTTTCTAACACCTCTGCAACTCAGCTATAATATCTATTTTACATGTGAGGTTATTTCAATTAAATACCATACCCACTTACTTAGGAGCTGTCCTGGCATTTAATCCTAAATCTCCCGGACTCCAGAATCTGTGTCATATATTTTATCAGTCAGACTAAGCCTGAAGGGGCAGTGAGAATGTGCTCTAACTTATACTTTTCCTTAGAAGAAAGGTTAGTGCAATCTAATATCCTGGACCACTCCGCTTAACGGCCTGGTATCTCAGAAGTTTGTCTGAAGTACTATGAGAATACCACCTAACCCTACCACAATTATCTATCATCCAAACCAGGTTTCTATTGTCTGGGACAAAGGTTAAACGAACTTGGTCACCAAGTAAACAAGCATTAACTAGAACTGCCCAGAGAAAACTAAGATCTACCTATATATTAGGTTTTGATGGCAATATGGTAAATTAAGTAGCCAACTATTTAAAATATTAAATAGCTGAAGTATTTTTACAGCTAGGTCAACTGAACTATAATTCACATACAGTAAAAATTGACTTTATTTAGGTATCCAGTTCTATGAATTTGAACAATCATAATTAGCTGTCCAAGCTGTTTCAACTGCCATCACAGTCAAGATAAGGGATATTTCACTATAGAACTTATAGTTAATCCTATCCCTGACCCTAGTCTGTCCCTGTAGTTTTACTTTCTTCAAGTGTTATATTAAAGGGATTATATGTTTTTTTGAACTTGGCTTCTGTCAGTTATTGTAATACATTCAAGATCCATCCATGTTGTTGTGTGGATCAGTAGCCCATTCTTTTTTCTTGAGTGGTTTCCATAGTATGAATGTGCTTCAATTTGTTCACTATTCACTAATGGATAGACATTTGGTTTTCTCCAGTTTGGGGCACTTACTAATCAAGCTGCCTAGTAAACATTCACGTGCAGGTTTTTGGGTGGACATATGTCATCACTCATGTAAATACCTAAGAGTAGGAATGCTGGTTATATGGTAAATATAAGCTTAATTTATAAGAAAGTGCCGACCAGTTTTCCAAAATGGTTGTCATTTTTTGCATTCTTGCCAGCAATGGATGATGTTCTTTTAACTCTACAATTTTTTTAAAGATTTTATTTATTTCTTTGAGAGAGAGCACGGGGCGTGTGGGGGAAAATGGCAGAGGGAGAGGGAGAAGCAGGCTCCCCACTGAGCAGGGAGCCCAACATGGGCCTCGATCCCAGGACCCTGGGATCATGACCCAAGCCAAAGGCAGACGCTAAGCCACCCACTTGGTATCTTCAACTTTGATATCTCAGTGAGGTTTTAATTTTCATTCCCCTGATTATTAATGATGTTGAATATCTTTTCATGTGCTTATCTGTCATATGTATATCTTCATTGGTGAAATGTCAGTTTGTCTTTAGCCCATTTTTTTATTGAATGACTTTATTGTTTTTTCTTTCATTGTTAAGTAGTGAGAGTTTGTCATCTATTCTGGATAACTGAAGTATTTTTAGAGGTTAAAAAAATGTATGAGCGTGATCTACTTCACAACAATATGTACTTAACACTACATAATTGTACACATAAAAATGGTTAAGCTGGTAGATTTTATGTTACGTGTTTTTTGAGAAGGAGCATGCTTTATCAGGGAGAGAGCACCGCATGTGACCAACAGATGAAGGCAGCCTGGGGGAGTCCTACACATCACGCTCAAAAAGGTACATGAGGTTTTGCTTAGAAAGATAACTGGAACGTGGGTTCCTCTGGGCAACTTCCCCAACCTCATCCCTTCACGGGGTCGGGACACCCCTGATTATTTCCTTGAAGGCAGCTATGGTCCACTAGAGATACAGTCCTCAGGGGTGCCTTCTTTTTATAAAGAACATTTTCTTTAGATTTCTTGAAGTCTTCATTTGTTACTTTCATTCTACGTTCTCTCAAGGCCATCAGACGAGCTTCTGTACAGATCACCTTGATGGCGGCACCAGAGAGGTCATCTGTAGCCATGATCAAGTCGTCCAGGGTCACATCATTGGCCAACGTCAACCTGCTTGTGTGGATTTGAAAGATGCACTTCTTAGTCTTTTCGTCGGGCAGGGGGAGCTCAATCTTCCTGTCAGTGGGGCCTGGTCTGATAAGTGCTGGATCCCAAGTTTCTATTCCGTTTGTGGCCATGATAACTTTCATGTCACCCCTTGAATCAAATCCATCCAACTGGTTCAACAGTTCCAACATTGTTCATTGAATTTCTCTCTCACCACCAGAATTTGAGTCATATCTTTTTGTTCTAATGGCATCAATTTCATCAATAAACACGATGGATGGTGCGTGTTCTTCCCCAACTCGAAACAATTCCCAAACGAGTTTGGGCCCATCACGTAGGTACTTCTTAATAATTTCAGAGCCAACCATTCTCAAGAAAGTGGCTGAGGTTTGGTTTGCTACTGCTTTGGCTAATAAGGTTTTACCTGTGTCAGGTGGACCATAGAGAATGACCCCCTTTGGGAGCTTTATACCCATCTCTTCATAATATTCAGGATGAGTGAGAGGAAGCTCCACCGATTCCTTAATTTCCTGGATTTGGTTGTCCAACCCCCCGATAGCATAGGTTTCCTGGGGCACCTTTTCTACCTTCATCACTAGAACCAAGGGATCCGTGTCATCCGTGAGCACGCCTACGACGGCATGCACTTTGTGGCTGAGCAGGATGGAGCAGCCTGGTTCCAGCAGATCCTTGTCCACAAAGGAAAGAATGCTGACATGGTGTTCTGAGCCCACAGATGTAGACACCATGGCATGATTTTCATCAGTGATGTCTTCCAAGGTTCCTACTGACATTGGGGTCACCCTCAGATCATCCACCTTAGATCTCTCCTCCTCTTGCTTTTCTTCTAAAGGTTTCATTTGTTCCTGATTTCTAATGAATTCTTCCCCCATGAGAAGGCAGTCTTTAGTTCTAACTTCAATAATTTTAACTGGCACTGAGTGTGAGGTGTTGCCAGGGGCAGCTTGCTGGCAGCATCTGGTCCATTTGTTTTCTTCTTCTTTCTCCCCAACTCTAGTCAGTACAGGAGGTTCATATGTCTCCCGGCAGCAGTGGTTTGAGTGGCTGAAGCAAGATGGGTCAGAGTCAGAGTGGTGGTCATAGCCCTGGAGGTGGCAGGAAGGATGACAAGGATGAAAAAAAGAAATCTGAACCACCTGTTATGTGTTTTTTAACAATTTTTAGAAAGTGTAATGGCTGAATGTCACTCTAGAAGTCAGATTGCAATGTGTGCTTTTCCAGGAAACCATCCAAGAAGCCAACTGCTAATACTCCCTCACTGTGCTAGAAACAAATGTCTCCGATTCCAGTAAGGCTGGGGATCCTGCCCCAAGCCCAAGCAAGATGAACCTGGGGGCCCTGGAAATCTGAGGATGATGAAGTACTTGGGAAATTCCTGACGAAAGGCATCCCAGGATAGCCAAGATTATTGGTGCAAGCAGTGTGTGCTATCCAAGATTCTTGGTGTGAGGCACTGTGAGTTATCCAAATCTTCTGCTTTCAAGAGGATCATTTCTAGCTGGAATGACAAGACATAGAAAATTAACAATACCAAGTTGCACAAAGTTTGTGCTAAATGAATTTTACAGACAATAGGAGTTCTAGAAGTCCAAAGTGGCAAGAGGAGCCCCCAACAGGCTTTACAGAGACTCTAAAAGTGGACACGTTTGGGAAGCAGTGAATAGAAGAAAGTTTCCTGGGACTCAGGGAGATCTTACTAAGTGCAGGTGCTGCACCTGAGAAAAGTATTACCTACTACACATGGTTCTTGGGATGACTTACGTGCATGTGAAGTTCTCCGTGTCTGGCACCTATTAAACATCCTCAGAAGTTAGCTGTTATTTTCTCACTTCTTACAACCCCGTAATGCGTATCTTATTATTTCCACCTCTTTAACTTGTTATCTTGAACTAATTTTAGGCTTACATGAAAGTCACAAAAATAGTCTAGAGAATTTTCTTATATCCCTCACCCTACTTCCCTTAACAAACCTTATGTAACTGAGGTACGATTATCAAAACACAGGAAATTAACAGGTACAGTATTATTAACTGGAAAATAGGCCTTCATCAAATGTCACCACTTTCTCTATTAATATCCTTTTTCTGGTTCCGGATCAATCCAGGATCCCACATTGCATTTCACTGTCATGTCTCCTTGGTCTCCTGTGACTGTTTCTCCATCTTCCCTGTGTTCCATGACCTTGACACTTTTGAAGAGTACTTGTCAGTCATTATGTAGAATATCCCTCAATTTGGGTTTGTCTGCTGTTTTCTCATGATTAGAATGAGCTCATACATTTGGGGCAAGCATACAGGAGAAAGGCTGCTGTGTTTCTTCTTAGTGCATCATATTCATTATTGTCTCAGTTTTCAGGGTGAGGATTCTGAGACTCATAGGAGGGTACACTATCACTTGCTGCCTCTGTACCGGGCTCAGGGCGGGGAGACATTTGGAAATGGATTTTGTGGAAGCCAGAGTGGAAGGATTTTTTTTAATGCCAAACACATGAGTTGGGGCTCTGTTCTGCATAGTTGGACAACTATGAAAAGATCTTTAGCAAAGCAGTAAGAGGTCAAAAGCAGGGTTTGGGGGCGATTACCCTGACCACAGTATAAAACATGGGTTGGAGAAGGGCGGGCTAGTGGCAAGTGAATCGGTGAGCCTATATCTAATGAGATAGCCCAAACAAAGGTGAGAAAGGCTCCCAGGATTTCTCCAGGGGTGGCCCAAGAAGCAGCCACCTGAGAACCATCACTGGGCTTCTTAATTGTATTTTATTTTTTGCTTAAAAAAACAAAACTCATTTATTAGCTCATGGTTCTGAATGTCAGAAATCTGGGCAGGTGTAGCTGGGTTCACTGCTTAGGGTCTCACAAGGCTTAAAATCAAGACATTGGCCAGGCTGAGATCTTATCTGGATGCTCTAAGGGAGAATCCACTTCCACACTCATTCAGATTGTTGGCAGAATTCAGTTCCTTACGGTAGTAGGGCTGAGGTCCCTATTTCATTGCTGGCTGTCAGCTGAGGGCTGCTGGGCTTTTTTAAAATGTAGATACTTGGGCCACACAAGAGACCTTGGTCGAACCAGAATCTCTGAGTAATTACATTTTAAACATGTTCTCCAGTTCATTCTTATACACATTAAATGATTTAAATAATTACAACTATAAAAACAGAAGATTAGCTAAATGAAGGATCAGCAGACTTTTCTGTAAAAGGCCAGACAATGAATATTTTAGGCTTTTCAGGCCATATAGTCTCTGTCATCTGCTCCAGCTACATACTTTGTGGAGTATGGACCCTGCTAAGCACAAGACCCTGCTAAGCCTGGGGCTCCGGGTCACCGCGCTAAGCCTGGGGCTCTGGGTCACCGCACAAGTCATACGCCCACAAAGCTAGCCTCATCTGTAGCCTCTCCAAGTCTACCACTATTTGTCCCCGCCATCGGTATGCAGAAGCAGCTGGAGACAAGTACACAAATCGGCAGGTGGTGGCAGGAGTTGCTCAAGGGCTGTAGTCTGCCCACCCCCGAGCTAGATCATCTTTTAGCATGAAGGCCTGCTCCCTGATGTTCAGAAAGCTAGTGAAAAGCTAATAAAAAAAAAAAAAAAAAAGTCAAATGAAATTGCATCTTTGCTGAATACGCACCATTTCATACAGGGGTTAATTTAGCTAGGCAACTCTTCAAGTGAATTTTATTTGTATTGATAGTCTTATTTAATGCAAGAGAATGATTGCACTGAATGGAGAAAGAAACAGGGGAGCTTAGACACCAAAAGGACATCCTGCGGTTCAGGATCTCTCTGATGCAAGACTTGTTCCTGGCTTATCTCTCCTCTGCACACCATAATTCAGTTAAAATCTCTTTCAAAGGAATCCGTAGTCTGCTAAATTGTACAAGATTATCCAAAAAAGTAAAGACGGTTTTTGTGTTTGAGTCAGAAACCAGATTATAGCAGTATGGACTTTTCTATCAAAGCAACCTAAGGACGATTTAGAGTTCCACTGAAATTGGAAAAGGAAATAGCAAATTCCAACTGGAAATACCTAATCAGCTTTTTCCTGATGTGACAGTCCAACTGCAGCATTACAGGTGTCCTACTGTGCCTAACTTCACATCCTGTCTCCTACCATTTAGCAGTTCAGGCCCTCGGCTCTCTCTCTGCTAATAAAATTAGAACCATTTTTAAAAAAACCAAGATGGTATATTTCAAAGTGATCACATTTATTAAAAAACCTATAGCTCGGACACATGGGAGGTGCTCAAAACACGTTTGCCATACTCTATTGATAAAATCACACAAAACCAAGCATTAAAAGGAAAAACATCATTAATTCCTCAGAGGAGGGGAAAAAAACGCTAGCATTTTTTCCAGTCTTAATCGTCCTGGTGCCCATGGCCATGACTGTGTGAGGAAAACATATGCTGCACAGCTGCAAATGTAAACCTGATTACCTCTAAATTAATAACACGGAAGAGGCAGCACTTGCAGCTGTGAGACAGAGGGAGCCAGAGAACCCCAGTGCAATACAATCTCCCTGACATTCGTAATGTTTGTTTTATCGTAACCAGCTTTAGACAACTGTACTAAAAGTCTCTGAAGAGGGGGGAAGCACAACAAAGCAAGAAAGCTCCCCACTACCATTTCCTCGCTCTTGACCAGGCCCTTAGGATCATCACCATCTGAGGCCCCATTGGTTTTCTTTCCCGAGCCGCTGGCTCTGAGGACCTTCCAGCACCCAAAAGGATCACAAAGGAAAGACTGCGAGTACCTTTCAGTGGTCAGGCAGCTAGCATTTCCAGTCTTTCCCCCTCATGTCAAACACGGGAAGTTGGACACAGAAAATCACAGCTGTGAATTTCTGCTTAAGGTTCATTTTTTCAAGGTTCATTTTTCAAGTAATGGGGGGCCTGGGGGAGTGGGGGTGAGAAATTTGGGGCAAAGCATATGTATATGTCCTCAGGAGACAGCGTTTCTTTCAACATGCACTAAGAGGAAGAAAAAGAAAGAAGTTTGTACGTAACTTTGAGTCTGAACGGTCTTGGGTTTGGCCTGAATGAAGGCTAACACCTAAGTTATAAAGATCCATTAGTAAATTCATCAGTGAGACTTTTGTTACATTCAGGTTCAAGTAATCCTGACGTTAACCAGCCTGTGTAAGAACATTCCAGGGATCTGAAAAACAAAGAGAGTCCCCATGCTTGACCTAGAAGCTTTAGCTCCACTTTTATTGGGAAGCAAGAAGCATTCTTATAAAAGGGAGGATTGAATACTAACTCATTTGGTAGAGACTCTAAATGCTATGGAATTGGAAGAAAGAGAAGAGTAGTGGGCAGATTCTGACTGTAAGCAAATGATTTCAGCTCTCTGAGTTCAGACTGCTCATCCATAAAATTGACGTAATAATGCTCACCTCACAGGGTTGTTGTAAATGTGATTGTAAGTGTCTGTCATCTAACAGGCCCACCAGCATTAGTTGAATCTGAATCTGAAGCAAACGTATGGAGAGTCTGGTAGGGAGGAACATGGATCCCCCAGTGGCTTTGGGAAGCAGAGCCCTACCTCCAATCTTGATGCATCCTGGACCATTACAGGAAAAAATATTCATTGTGCTGATACTTTCAGGTCTTTCCGTTACCACAGTTTAAAATAATAATCCTAGGTAATCTAGTTAGAAAGCTGCATGATAAAAGCAGGGCTCTAACAAAATGACATGCCTGGGATTAGAGAAAAAAAATAATAAAATAAGAACTACCACTTATTGAGGACCATCAAATGCTTTACATGATGATGATGATCATCATCATCATCATCATGCTGATTATGTGCCAATAACTGCTCTGAGCACTTTATGTATACTGTGTATATTAACTAATTTTAATTCTCTCCATTAATTCACTCC